GAGAGTGGCCATTCATTGGCCAATGCTTGGCCGATGGCTGATGGCGAGTGGCCATTGGCCAATGGCCAGATAAAGGCCAGTCACCTTCCAGTCTCTGGCCACTTCGCCAAGGACCATTGCCAGCCATTGGCCGATGACTGGCCAACTCTGTTATGCTTGGGACGCTTGCAGGGTAGCGTATTAAAAAAAAGAAGAAAAAAAAAGATGCAGTACGCCGTCTTGCACGATTACGAGTTTGCCAACAGTACAAATCTCGCCACACGCCTTTTCTACGATTAAAAAAGACGATGTAATCTTAGCAGCGATATAGAAACGTAGATATATAATTGCGTGATCAGTTAGACGTTGCGAGCGTTCATGATTGCTAGCACTAATCACCCTTCTCGGGTGATGAAAACGCGTGAAAATTCGCATCCTTTATACGGTACGCACCAGTAATGCCTTGAACTTAAACACACGCATGGAATGGGCCAAAAAAATTCCGGGCGATGTTTGAGGACAAAAATGCTAAGAAAGTGACTGCAGTTGAAGTAAACAAACACGACGGCTCGGGCGTTTCTGCTGTCTTTGGGGTGCCGCTACGAGATCGCCGCACGAGTAGGTAGATCTTCCCTTCTATAGTACGTGATGGGTGATCATAACGACACACGACGAAAATTCACAATCAAGGATAGCGCTTTTACGCGGAACGATGAGCTTTCACCACGCTGTCCACATGGACGATCACCATCGATGCCATGTTTGCAGATAAAATGACCCCGGCACGACGGGCATGCAACACCCGCGACCCAGCTCTCCTTGACCCGTGACTGGTCTGTCTTTGCGATCGCTCCCGAACGTAACGAAAACGTTCTGCCCTGCTCAACTCCTTGCGTTGCGAACGAACACGAACGAAACGACCGCTTGCCGCTTCGTTGCTATGGAACCTCGTCGTTCCAACCGGTTGCATTCGTTCGTAAGCGTAGTGGTCGCTCCGAACGCAACTGTGTGAATGGGCTTTAACACGACCCTGTAACGAGGCCAAAAGAGTCAGCAAAAATAGAGGGAGCAAAAAAAAAACACCAAAAGAGATCAGTGAAGGGGTCCGCGTTAGGGTTTCCCAAAGGGGGGCGTGTTTGGCGTTTCCAAGGGTTATGCTATCGTATTCCCTAAGAATCCGCCAATGAATATTTTTTTGAAATATTTAAATATTTATTTCGACGTCCCAATACTTTAAAGCTAATTTAAAAAAAAACACATAGATTATGACACGTAATCATGAAAGGAATTGCAATTACGATGGATACTGGCATCGTGGTCCCTTCTCTTAAAATGAAGTTTACAGTGAGGCAATTCATATGAACAAAACTGGTTCAAGAACTCAGTACAGGGCTAGTTCACATTGTTAGGCTACTCACGCACTCATTTTGATATTCAGGTTTATTTTATTTCAAGGAAAATGGGAGACATTCTGATATCATAGATGGCACAAACGTTCACGAACAGGACGTTCAGAGATCGTGTACACATATACATGCAATGCAAATTTACAATGGTGACAACAATCCACGATACACAAACATCAAAATCAGCTAATAAGCTCATAGAGTAATACTGATGGGCGCGACAGCATCAAAGAACACTATACAAGACGCGTGAGAAATGAGATTTTGTACTTTTTAGGTATCCGACATTTAATAAAATGCAGTATGTAGACAACGATGGCTACGCAAGAAAGCGTAGGAAACAACCATTTTTTTTTGTAACAGGATTTTCCTACACTCCGAAAAAAAGCGAAGTGGTCGCACTGAAACGTCTACTATTGCTCTGACGCTCCCAGGAGATTCTTTTACTAATTTATTCTGTTCGGCTTTGACCGTCTTCGAGTAATGATGATAATTAAACAAAAACGGATGAAGTACAGGGACAATTGAACAGACCACGTTGGACGTTACCTGCAGTGAACTCCACTACGTAACACTTGCTTCTTTATGAAGCACACCCTGTAACCTGAACATACTGTGCAACATGACATCCTAACAGGGCGAACACCTAACCCATTGTCGCCTTCTCTATGGAAGAATTAGTAGTTAGTACAGTTGAACCAACCGTCGTCCTTTGGAGATAAAATATGCTTATGTCTCTTGAATGAGACCCGGCTGTGTAGAAGGATAGACGGATTCAAGTGTCCAGCTGTATATTTACAAGTGGTACACACACGGTTCCCGTCAAATCGCATCAAGTTTATATCGGGCCATTCACTCCCCTAATCGGGCGCAGAATGAAGGAAGAGGCACTCATCTGTAATATGTACATGTTCGTAGAAAGCAGGTAAAAAACTTTGAGAATAAACATGCTTTCCTTGCCATGAGCGTACATTGTCAAACCTGCTTACGCGGGCGTGTTACCTTGCCAGCGTCCCCCCCCCCCCCCCCCCTACGAGTTACACTACGCCTCTCTACTCGAAAAAGTGGGGTGGAGTCTGCTCCCGATGTTTCTAAGATGGCAAGTTTAAGTCAAGCCACATACTGCTAACTATCCGCTGCCGTTGAATGCGTGCGGAACGGGTCTGTTCGAGTATGTGTTGGAGCCGTACTTCGACGCATCCACAGTTTCACTGTATCGCTTTACGTATTGAATATCCAAATCTTTTTCGGGCATATTTTTGTAGGCAGAAGTATCACAAACCCTGCAACTAGTCGTTAGCAGGTGAGTGTCTCTCTGGCTCTTCGTGAAGCAAGTAGTGAACTTCATTGCACAACATACATCGACATCTTGCTCCCTGCGAAGGGGAATGTTGTGTTCACCGCACTACAGTTATCCATTTTCACCTGGGTCATCAAGCAGAAGCTGCAGGAACTCTTTTACCCGCCGCCTTTGCGTTCCCTTTGGTCGAAGTTGACAGGCCTCGTGCACCTTACAGGTAGTCTCTAGTCTAGCGCTTTATCGGCGCTTTGTTTCGTGAAAATGAGGAGCTACGTGCTCAAGCCAGTAGCTGCGACACGTTTAATACTATGTACATACACCTGATATTTAGCGAACAGCCATCAGGCAATATTTTTAAGCAGAACATCTTTGTCATTTCTTCTGGGAACATGAAAACTAGTTTCTATTTGTGCGAACTCATAGGATTTTTTTTTGTGGAGCTCTTTATTTTCATGACTCACCAAATTTTGTACTTTACTGTGATCGCCTTCCATCAAACTCGATTGAAAAGCATTGGCACTAACCTAAACATATGGCTTATTTTGGAATCATAGAAAGTGACGTTTTACTGTATGCAAAATATAACGGCGTAAAGGCGCTGAAAACGCCCCAGCGGCGTTTTCAGCGCCCACTTGAACAAGGAAGGTTACGGGCTCAAAGCTCAGCAACATCATAAAGGGAAGCGAGCGAAGGCCCCTTTCGGAAATGGTTTTATAAAAAAAATTTCCTTACATAAAATACCCAGTTGAACCTCGCATTATTGCCCCTATATCGCGCGCGAGAGACCACTGTTTATATAAATTGGCGTTGAATAGACGCTTACATAAGGCAAAATGTATCTGGATACTTTCGGGCAGGTGAGCCCTGTCTTCGTCTACCAAATGAGATAATTATCGATTTCATATTCTGAGGATACCCTGTCAGGAGATCGGCAAAATAGAGGCACCTTACTTTCGAGTCACGCGTGACGATGAGAAAATCAAGCAAGGTAAAAGTATGTTTATGTATTCTGATGATCTAAGGAACTGTGATGATCTCATGGTACAATGTTTCGAACTGAGGCAACTTTAGGTAGGAGGAAGTTTGCGTTACGTGCTTGGAAACCCCAATTATATCAAAAGTTTTGTTTCGCTTTGTGTAAAAAAAAAAAAACAAAAAAAAAACACGTTCGTTTGTTTTGTTCATTTTCGCAGTTGTAAATATTTTTTAATTCATTTGCGACATTACGATAATTAAAACAATAGTTTTATTGTGCACGTTTTAATACCCGATAAACCAAAACAAATCGCCAGTAAAAGGAGTTCAGCACCTCACATTAATCAGCAATCATTGGTGCAGTTTTCTTTTGTTTTTAAATAAACGGAAATATGTCTCCTAATTAATTTGCGACTGTCACTTGAGTATATTGTTTACATGGTTAAAAAAATTTATATCTATATTAATATGTTATTTAAGCAAAATTTTGTTTCCAGAGGTCCAGACTTGGCGGAACACATGCCTTCTATTTACCAGATTCAATGATCCTCTACGTAAATTATGCAAATGTAAAGGAGTGTTTATGTGAATTTCATATTCTGTAAATATTTAGCGTTTTGTTTTTAAAAAGTACAACCATAACTGACAAAACACGGTATTTTGACATTTATATCACCCCATTTAATAATTAATTTTCTTATTTTAACATTAAAAATGCTTCACAGGCGCTGAGAGTTTTTGCAGGCAACTGCTATCCAGAAATATGCCGTGGCAAAATAGCCGTTCTAAGAAAAAATATATAAATTGATTGATTTGCAATTGACCTTTAATTTATCAAAGGTCTGTATTGAGGAGGCGGATCTTTAGTTCATATATCGAAGGATGAGTACACCCGAGCAAAATCACCAGGAAACAAAACCTTAGCCCTATGACCTAAACCAACTTGGTGTCAAAGCATCAAATGTCAAAGCAGTTAGGCTTCAAGTACCTTAGTTTGAGCAACATGAATATCATATACGATTCATCCATTTATATTTCCTTTCCCTTCCACTTGTCTTTTGCCCGTAATATTCTCCAGATTCCTATTTGATAATTTCTGGAATATATGGCTTACCTCCTTTATAATAAAAAAAAATAATGTAGTAAAATGTAACGCGGCACGTTGAGAGACTAACGTATGCGCTCGCTTCAAAAGACCAAGCCACCAATGGAGTCACGCCTTAAATATGTCGAGGACTCTCCACGTAATACAACCTATACTTATGAAAGTCAAGTATAAAGAAAGGAATTTTTTTACGTGGTGTGGTCCTTCTCATGATCCCAAATATTTTATGACACTGTAGAGGAGCAGAAACGGATAACCTTGTTGAGCTACAAGAAGCTGGAAGTAGCATTATACGCACCACGGAGGCGCAGACGTGAGCGTCCAACCTTGGCATCATACCCTTGAGCACCACAAGACGGAGATCGGTGCCAGATCACAACGCCCGTCCGATTGGTCGGCGTCAGCGCAGTTCTTTTTCAGAGACTGTCCAAACTCGGTGAACGATGAATATAAAATAAAATGAGCACTCTTTGGGATTCCTTCACTTTAAAGGTTTCAGACAAATTCTTGGCGACGGGAACTCCTCGGCCCCAGACTCCGCTTGCCGTTGACGTGGACAGCGACAGTTCTTGTAGGGCTCATGGTGCGTAGGGGAGTACCATTCTGTGCTGGATTGAGGCGTGTCTGACAAAAGGTGGGCTGCAAAGCGAAAAGTACGTTAAGCAAGATTTAGCAAGAGACACAAAAAGGTTATTCCGTGATTTCTTACTCCCATCATTGGGAGGCCAATGACCATAATATAAAGAGCCTTCCAACGAAAGATCAGTCGCGAAAATTGTTTAGGTAGATAATGGAAACCTCAAAAAGAGTATGGGCTGGAAGCGTTTGATGATTTATTAAGCACGTTCCACTAATCGCACTAATTGATCTTCTCTTTCCTGTGCGAATGAATAGTGTTGGAAGTATTTTAAGTTATTATTTTTGTCATGATAACGTTCTTAGATTAGTTTATTTATTATGTTGTGATGTGGTGATGAGGGTGCTGCCGACCCCAGTCGGTCTTTGCTATTGTGATGGTAACGGCTGTAAGAAGACAGAGTAGGCTGATAAGTGCAAACCGCACAAAGAAAAAAGTTTCAATTACGTCTTCAATGTTCTACAAGAGATATAGAGAGAACGTCCATATTATTACCAAATTACGGCCCCGACCTAAATGAGCCAGCTGGAGTCTTGTCATTTAAGTCTTGGCAGCTGCAAATTCAACCAATTCTCGTTGAGATTAACCTAGAGTAATTTGTGCTTTGGTTTCAAGAGATGCAGCAACGAATAGCTTGGAAAACCATTGCTGAAGGACAGCGTTGTATTGTTGCAGTATACGAAACGCTGCAGAAGTGGAGGTTTATTTTTTATCCGTGAGCGAGGAACGTGTCGTAGTGTTATGGCTATTTTAAATATTTGCGCATTTAAATCTTGACTTTATGAGTTAGTAAAACAATGGGATAACAAAACAAGTGTATGGATGAAGTCCAACATTTCCGAGCTTCTCATTGCACAAAGTTTGCAAGCAGAATCGAGGACCAAGTAGTCGTTTGCAAGCAGAACGAAGAAACAAAAAATGTCGCGAAATGGACACTTATTGTTTATCGGACACGTATTCCGCACTTACGTGATGAGCTTCATCAGTCGCTTTTATAATTTTTCTAGGGCAGCTATTTATATGCGTTTTATGTCGAGATAATCAGATATAAGTAAAGTAAAGCTAAACAACAACAGACAAGATAATCAGATACAATTCCTTCAATGTACTCAAATATTGAAGCGGCTGACTGCAAGAAGGGGTTATGCACAATTGCTAGCAAGATATACTACCACAAGCCAGAATTTCCACGTCGTCGAAAGGACGACACGTGGCTCTGCAGTTGTGCCTACACAGCAAGAAGAAAATTGCCCGGCATGTGCTACCACTAAAACCAGTGGGGAATCTGAAGAGAACAGCTGTTCCCAGAGCTCGTTTTCGAATGTCTTATTCAGCGCCCAAGGATTTTGCCAGTCAAGAATGGCTGTACGCAAGGTGTTCCTTCGCTGGCTCACTAAGAATTGCCAAGTTTTCTCTTTAAATACGATAGCATTTCTTTCGGAAAATGTGGGAGGAAAGAATGCTAGAAAAATCAGCTTGTGGAATGCACAGTTCGCGATTCAGTGCAAAGAAATACACAGGGGTTCGATCATTTATAAGGAGAAAGCTCTTTGCAGTTTTAGGTGATAACGGCAGTGTTCATGACAAAGATATGGATAAATTTAAAAATATGCACACGTGTTTCGTACGTATGCATCTAGCGTGGCGCTAGAACATTTGGTAGAAGCAGACAGGGTATCGTGCTACCCTCTCTGAACGGGTAACGCTGGGGTTTGCTGGCGGGGACAGAAGATTGAAAAAAAAAATGGTTACAATTCAAGAAAGGAGGTTTGAAGATTGGTGGAGGAGGGCTAAAATGTATTATAACACAAAACAAATATTTGGGCATTAAGACTTATGGGACACAACATGTATAGCAAAATTTAAGGCATGGCGGTTGAGAGGTTTCAAAACTGAGTGAAGTAAGCAACCGCACGATTAAAATATATAGGACTAATACTATTCATCCATTCATTCATCGTATGATATAACACATACTGCAAGTGCTCTAGAGTTTTTCACGCGGCCTCGCAACAGAAAAGGAGTGGGCTGAAAATGACATGGCTGAACGGGTGCGGCGGCCCACTGATGATCAGCGTGTTCGTCGTATTATGGAGATGCCCGAAAAAAGAAAATAGCGTTTGGCTATGGGGAGAGAAAGGCAAGGTGGGCTCATTCTTGTACGAAGAAGAGCCGAGTGAGAGAACGTGGTTCGCCTCCACTTTATTGGCGGACTATGGCAATCACGAAAGAAACTCATAATTTGCAGCAAAGCAGAGCGGAATCGTTGCCCCATTTCTAATTCAGGCTTTACTGTGATTGGTACTCTTGAGAACTCTTAACTAGCAAGAATTAGGACTGTAAGTGTCGAGGCGAAATCAATTGTTCTTATCAAATGATAAGTGTCTGTCAGAACACCCCGGAGACTGAAAGGTGAAACCAGCCAACACCAGATATGCTCCGTTTCAATTTAAGTCGAAGTGGGGCCAAAGTCCAGCTGCAATAAAAAACACAGACGCATATACTCAAGACGTAATATTGTGACGACGTATTCTTGGTACTACCTATGATAAGCTGATGGTTACACGCGCATTTATACACAGGAAATGCCGTGAACTAGGGCTTTCCGAGCAGCTTTATTGATTCCACTGGTTCGTACCAAGGGTAGTGCTAGGACCATAAGGAGAAATTAAATACGGAATAATAGAAGCCTGTGAACAGACTCCTCCCCCTCTCCCCCCCCCCCCCCCCCCCTCCAGTCAACTGCGGTTAATATTTTTTTAGAGCGCAGCCTTTAGGCGCCCGTGTCCGGCTTGAGCGGCGTCGGCGTCGCCATCGGCGTAACCGCGCTGTGCATTATTGGTGAATTTCCCCGCTAAATTTAGCAGAAAAATGTACCGGCTAAATCTAGCGGAAAGAATTTCCCCGCTAAATTTAGCGAACAAAATTTTCTTCTACATCTAGCGGAAAAATTTGCCCACTAAATCTAGCGGAAAATTTTTCCCCGCTAAATTTAGCGGAAAACATTTTTTTCCGATACATTTAGCGGAAAACATTTTCCGCTAGATTTGGCAGTGAAATTTCCCTGCTCAATACCGGGTGAAACAAGGAGACGGTAGGCTCTTTAAATCGACCGGAAAATTCGGTTTCCTAACCTATCGCGCTACGACTTTGTGCAGCGTTGCCCATAGATGGTGCATTTTTTTGTAAAATTTGCAAAGAGCGAACTTACCTGAGGAGAAAGTAAAGAACGAAAAAGGTTTAGCTCCTATGGAAACGCAGCGACGCCTCCGGTCTGCAAACAAAACGGTGCCGCTTCGCACGGGAGACAAGAGATGGCGCAAGCGGTCGCGACGCCAACTGCCGCCAACGAACGAGCAGACGACACAGAGAGCCGGCCCTTTTGCAGACAAGGAACTGCAGTTCCTTGCTGTTACCGCGCCTGTCTTTGTTGTTTCTGCGACTGTCGCCGCCTACGGAACGCGCTCCGCTTTTGAGTCGAAAAAATCGTTTGCTAAAAAGGCCTGCTCTCGGCGCCGTATGCTCGTTGGTTGGCGGCGTTCGTTGCGCCATCTCTTGTCTCCTGTGCGAAACGGCGCCGTGTTGTTTGAAGACCGGTGGCGTCGCTGCGTTTCCATAGGAGCCAAGCCTTTTTCTTTCTTTACTTTCTCCTCAGGTAAGTTCGCTCTTTGCAAATTTTACGAAAAAAATGCACCATCTGTGGGCAACGCTGCACAAAGTCGTAGCGCGATAGGTTAGGAAACCGAATTTTCCGGTCGATTTAAAAAGCCTACCGTCTCCTTGTTTCACCCGGTATAGCGGAACATTTTTTTCCGCTAGATTTCATGGAGAAATTTCCCCGCTAAATTTTGCGGGCAAATTTTTTTACGATAGATTTAGCGGAAAACATTATCCGCTAGATTTAGCGGTGAAATTACCCTGCTAAATCTAGGGAAAAAAGTTTTTCCGCTATATTTAGCGGAAAAATTTCCCCGCTAAATTTAGCGAAAAGTTCTTTTCTGATAGATTTAGCGGAAAACATTTTCCGCTAGATTTAGCGCTAAAATTTCCCTGCTAAATATAGCGGAAAATTTTTTTCCGCTATATTTAGCGGGAAAATTCTGACGCTAAATTTAGCGAAACAATTTTTTTCCGATAGATGTAGCGGAAAACATTTTCCGCTAGATTTAGGGGTGAACTTTCTCTGCTAAATATAGCGGAACAATTTTTTTCCGGTAGATTTAGTGGCAAGATTTTTGCGCTAAATTTTCCGGGGAAATTTTTTACGCTAAGTTTAGCGGAGAAATTTTTTCTGCTAGATTTAGTGGCAAGATTTTTGCGCTAAATTTTCCGGAGAAATTTTTTACGCTAAGTTTAGCGGAGAAATTTTTTCTGCTAGATTTAGCTGGCTTATTTTTGCGCTAGATTTAGCCGGGAATTCTTAATTTGGGATTACGACTGTTTTCAGCTGAATCACAGGCATATCTTTTTGTCTTTATAATTGATATTTTTGTAGTTTTTTGTTTGCTTTTTAATATCGACGGCTCAAAATTTGGTAACGGGCATCCGCGGTAGAACGAAAACTATCTCCGCGGTAGAACGAAAACTATCTGTTAGATGAATGGCAAAACTGATCAAGAGCCGTAGGGCCGGGACATAATGTCGCAATGGTGCTGCGGTACACGGTACCATCGATCAACTGCAGACCCACTGCGACGTGATGTCAGAAGGGTGCTGCGCCAGTGTACCTTGACTAATGGCTAACCCACTTCCCGCCCGCTAAAGAACAAGCAGCTGGTCGCACCTTTAAAATCGGTTTTCGTGAAGTACGCGGCTTCACTTTGACGTGATATTTCGGCTGCGGTCATAAGTTGGGCCACTAAAGCGGTACCAGTCATTTATTTTGTTTTCGTATTCGACCGCAGTTCTCTTTAACGCAATGATAATCGGACAGTGCCAAATCAGCAATTGAGCTCAAGCCTGAAACTGAGGGTCCTTCGACAAGAAGTGTCCTTTTCTGCGC